TCTCTCTCCTTCTTTTCTTAAGATCAGGTCAATAAATGCAAAGGCGATTTGTTGGAAGTCAGGGAGGGCAGCTTCAAAACCCATCCAAATATTTTAGAAAACCTGGTCTTCTTTGTGGAGGTGAGTCTGGGCGATCTGAGCCACCCAGCCTGCTTTGCTGAAAAAGGCAGCAGCGCCCCTAAAGCGCCTCCCCTCCCCTGCTTCTCATCCTCGCAGACCACCTCCCTCGTCTCGTGGGTCTGCAGTTACTCGGACGCCGTCCTTCGGCCCTGGAAATCAACCCTGCAAAAGAAGAAGAAGAAGAAAAAAGACAGCAGTGGAGCCCTGGTAGGCTAGGCCGGGTTGCCTTCTTCCTCTTCCTGTCCCCCACCCCCCACCCCAAGCCACAGCTCGGCTTCTAATTCCTGATGGTTGAGAGCAAATTCTTCATTCGGTTCATGTAACGAATTAAACAATTGAGGACAGACCACGGAAGGCCTTTTAAAGCTTCCCCTCTCGCACGTCTTTGTAGCCTCCTGTGTTCACCAGCTTCCAAGATTATGTTTCTGGACTCCAGACGCTCATTTCCAACGTGGTAGATCACCTCAGAGGGCTTGAAATTAACTTAACTGCACTTAAACTTGAAGAGCTGTACATAGACAATAATTCACTTTTGCAGGTAAGAAATAGTAGCTTTTAAAGGAATGCTCTCCGACCTCCTGTGGTCAGAATTTGTCTTACTCTTTCTGTTCATTTTTCAACCCTGCCTTTTTGCTCAAAATATTTCTTGGCGCGTGGAAAAACTCACAGCTAGTTTGCCAGTCTGAAGTTCCTGGCAGATGGCTAGCTCAAATACTTTGGCTGGTCCAACGCCGTGCATCCTTAAGCTGTTTTCTTCCTTTAAAAATTGTAATTTGCCAGCATCTCTTCTTAGAAATTCAAAGACGGTTGTAACGTAAATTTATCGTTATTTGGAGATTTTTATGGGAATATTTCAAGAGTCGGTCCGGTTGGTTTTGATTATCTTGTGTGCATGCCCTTTTCTCTTATCCAGGAAGAAAAGAAGTTTACAAAGACTGCGCTAGGGAAAGTCCAGAGTAGTTACCAGCACGCGGTTCAAGAAATTGGAGAGCTGCTGAAAAAGAGACTTGATACAATAAAAAATCTAAAGGTTTGATGAAATGCCTCCTTGTGGAGAAAGCCAGACTGAAGCATTGGCATCAGATAAGCAACATCTACCATCCCTTCTGTGTTAAAATCTGGAACTTCCTCATAAATGCATGAAGGACTTTGATCACAAACTTTTTTTTATGTATTAAAAGATATATTCAAGCCGATTAAATTATTGTACATTAAAAGAATGGACACAGGGACCCTCCACGGTCAGGGTTAGACCACTTTTTATACATGTTCATAAGCAGATCACAACAGATTCTAGATCCCCGGCCTAACCCATTGCATCTCCCTTGGCTCTGAGGGAGGGGATGTTCTCCAGAAACTGTTGGGAGTCTCCAACTCTTTAGAAGCAGCAATAGGAATCCAGTGTAAAGCATATTTCAAAGGAATTTGTATTTTCCCCTCTCCCATAGGCAAGGCAGCATTTATTTTGCGTGCACGTTTTTGCCCTACAGAAGCAAATGACCAGGCCGGAGGTCATCTGTGGACACCCTAAGCATCTCTTGGGCTCTCCTGCTTCTGCCACAGCCAAGTAAATCTGACTGTTGAACGATCTGGTCTACAACAGGGTCTTTTATTCTCCTTTATGTATGCAACTTCCCTTACAGCCGTTCAAATTGGTTGGAAAGAGGACCAGCGTCAGTTACCGCATCAAACCTCCTTTTCCCTACCCTGTAAGTGTCACAGAACAGCGCTGTCAGTTAAAGCCACTCCAGTGGTTTCCAAGAAAATGGAAAAACTTTGGTTTAGAAATGCGACTGGACCTAGAATTCCATAGGAATCAGGTAAAAGGTTATCAGTGTAAGTGGTGGCAAAAAGCCCTCAATAGAGCTGTTGTTATTTTAAAGAAAATAGTCTGCCGTCTAAAGCTGTGCGGTGGTGCCTTGATGTTTCTTCCACTTTCAGAGTTGGCATGTTGAGGCAGGCTGGCTGAGTTGAGCTGAACCACAGTTCTTTCGTATTTCTAATTTCAAAGTGCTCCCAAATACCTTCTGGAATATGTATATATAAGGTGGATTTTGGATGGGACCCAAGAATGGAGAACAAGAAGCTCCAACCGCTTTCAAATCCTTTTCGCGTTCAGAACTCCCAAAATACCTGTTGAGCCAGGGAGTATTTCGAGTGCTCCGCATTTTGACATTCAAGCTGTTGGGTGAAAAAAGGGTTGCGCTCCTGCGTAGCCAGTTGCGGTTACTGACAGCAAGTTGGCCTTTCGTTGTGCACATTCGTAGCAGGTTTCACTTTTCTGTGATATCACTAAGCTTGTGTTTTCCGAGTTTACTTGAGAGAATTGATTGGTTACCATTGTATTTTTTTTTTAATCAGTGGGTACTAAAAACCACAGGATGTGGTCCTGTTTTTTCCTAAGCAATTGCCAGATTGAAAGGAAGCCTCGTGAACGTAGAGTTTATGGCCAGGAAGATAGCCAGGTAGCATCAGAGTCAGGTAAGCTAAGGTAACCCCAACTATATGGGTTACTTTCTCGTTAGCCAGGATCCAGGCTTTGAAGCAGTGGCCTTGGTTCAGCCCGATTTATTGCTGTCTGCCAGCATATCCAGCATGTTGATGGGCTCTCCATGGCTTGTCTTCTCAAGGCCCCCTCTCACCTGCCCCAGGAGAGGTTCTCACCTGTTTTACAGGCAGCCCTACCTGCCCCGTGAGGAACAAAGAGCTTTGCCTGGACCTGCTGTAGACTTATCCTATCAAGAGATACCGCAGTGGTGATCTGGAGGTGATTTTTGTACAAAAACATGACTCCTGCAGGGTATGTTACTTAGTCTGAGAAAAGGGGCAGAATAAATACGTAATTTATTTTCCAATAAATAATTTCTAGAAAAAATGTTTTGGAGCTTCTATTGAGAAGCAGCTTAAAAGGTCTTTAAAGAACGGTTTGAGCAACGGTTTCAGGACCGTCAGTCCTGAATATATTGTTTTTCTGGTGGACAGCTTGATTCAAAATGCCCGTTTTGGAAATATAATGGTGGCTTATGGCCTTCTGAAACCCCTGTTGTCAGAGCACTTCATGGCGCTTGGATTTTTAAGGTGCTTTCAGCACGATCAGCTCCTTCCCCAAACTCTTTTTTTTTTTCATCCAAAAAGTATTCTTAAGAATATTGACCGTTGATATCCTTCGCTTTTGAGATTGCCTTTTTAAACAACCTTTCCAAAGCTTTCCTCGTTTGATCAAGTAGAGGAGGCCATAATCTCAAGATTATAAGCCACACGTTACATAAATTACTTGTATTTGTTTCAGTTATTAAATCTTTTCAAGATTTCTTAGGATTTCCTTCTGCTACAGAGAAGATGCTACTCCTCCTCCCAAAACAGGTATGGGGAAGAGAAGCTGCTGGAAACTAGTGCTGTTTTTTTCCCATTTGCCCAAACATGTGAAATTCTGAATTTGTGACGTAATTATTTTGTCCATGTCTTCTGGAAGTGGGTCGGCGTACCTGGGGGTATTTAAAAAGAGCTGAAAGCTTGAGAATAAGTAATCCTTTGATTCAGGGTCCTTCCGAGGCAACTTCTAGGAACGAAAACCTTTGGGTTATATTTTCTGGCAGGCTGTAAACTCAGTTTCCTTTTGCGGAAGCAGAACATCTGTGCAACTGTGTTTCCTTTCCAATGTTGGAAGTTTAGGGTTTTATCATTTTTTTAAATCATTTTCTTATATTTAGAAATTGAATTTATATTTGAAATTCTGATAATTGAATCATGGGGTTTGTTTTGCCTCTTATTTGAGCTATAAAAGGAGAGGTATTTGGCTACCTGTTCTGTTCTAACACTGTGGAGCTTCTTTGCTTTGCTTTGCTGTTTTTTAATTTGTGACTATGTTAAACACCTCAACCACCAACAGAAATTTAAAAGGATAAAACTGCTAACAATCTGCTGTAAACTGAATGGGTTTATAATTTATAAAAAAAAAACTCAGTTTCTTTATAACCAACTTTTTCTGTGCCTTTTTGTTTCTTTCAAGCTGGGAAACGTTCACCTCTCTCTGAAGGGAGATCTTTGCGTTTCAATGCTAAGAAGTTAGCTGTGATCCAAAACGCGCCGTTTAAAGGGTCTTTTAAGTGTTGTGGGGACAGACAGATGTTAGAGAGGTCTACAGGCCTCAGGCTGGCAGAAGTCAAGGCTGGCTTGGTGCATTTTGAGGCCCATTTTCTGCAGCGTAAAGGCAGCATTAGAAGGGTTGTGGGGTTCAACGCTTGCACCATTCAGAGGTAGTCAACCTGGGCTCTTTTATGACTCGTGGACTTCAACTCCCAGAATTCCTGAGCTGGCACAGCTGGGAGTTGAAGTCCACCAGTCATAAAAGAGCCAAGGTTGACTACCCCATTTGCAAAGCTGGACTTTTACCAGTCGCCTAGTGAAATCTCAAAAGCCAGAAGAGGAGGAGAAGGAGCAACCCCGGGGAGATGCCGTTAGGCAGGCCGGCGTTTCCAAAATTGCAGCCTTTATAGCCTGGGTGGGTGGGTGGGCAGCTTCCCACCAGCCAGAGGTCGGAGCAGGGCGGGGAGAAGCGGGGCTTCCTTGCTTCTACGGCAGTGTTTCTCAACCTTTGACCATTTTAAGGCATGTGGACTTCAATTCCCAGAATTCCACAGCCAGCATTGCTGGCTGTGGAATTCTGGGAGTTGAAGTCCACATGCCTTAAAATGGTCAAAGGTTGAGAACCCCTGTTCTACGGGGTGTCTGCTCCAAAGGGGGGCGGGGGAGAGGCAGGGAAGGAGCGCGGCTTGGCCTGCGGGGGGCGCCGGCGAGTGCCGCGGAACCGCCCCCGCAAGCCCCTCCCCCGCCGGGGAAGTTCGTCGCCCGCTCGCTCGCCCAGCAGCCACTTGGTCGCCATGGCGAGTCCCGGGCGCCGCGCCTGCCGCCGCCGCCTCCTGCTGCTGCCCCCGCTGCTGCTGCTGCTGCTGTGCGCGGCCCCCGAGAGGTGCGGGGCGCTGCACACCAAGGGCGCGCTCCCGCTGGACACCGTCACCTTCTACAAGGTAAGCCCGCGCCCCGCCCGGGGGTCCCGACGGGGCCAGCGCTGCCGCAGAGCGAAGCGGCTGGCGGGGCGCATCGCGGGCCTGTGCGCCTTCGCCCGTCGAGCGGAAGCGGGGTGGCCCGGCGGGAGGAGGCCTCTGGGGAGGCGAAAGCGCGCCCCTCTCGGGTCCCCTTCCCCGCCGCTCCTCCCCGGAAAGCCCGAGAGGGCGGGGAGACGGCGGGGCGATTCCCACCGCTCGCCAATCCGGGGAGTCCAAGTGGACGGCGAGGGCGATACGGACCTCCTCTTCCCTGGGCGCCGCCGTGCCTCTGATCGCGCGCAAAGTGCGTTTCCCCCTTCTAAGCAGCAAGGGCGGGAAGGGGGGAGCCCAGCGAGGCTTTCGGGGTGACGGGAATCCCAGGCTCTCCTCCCCGCACCTTTTACTCAAGAAGCAGCGCATTCAGACAACCTGCGAAGGCTCTGCCTTTTTTGATTACCAAAAATTACATGCTGCCCATCTCGGCTCTTTGTGCTCTGGATCTGGGGAGGCCGGCAGTCGCCAGGGAGGCGTGGGAACCGTGGCCGGAAGGCTGCAGGCAGCCCCGCCTGGATGCTGCCTCAGTTTCCCCAAGCCTAGAATGAGGCAGTGAGGCGTCAAAGCAACTCCTTCCTGGAGACGCTGCAGAATAACCTGTTCTCCATTTTTGGAAGGGATCCATCGTGGCAGACTCTGCAGGGTGATCATGAGCATTTAGGCAGGGAGGGGCCTTAGTAAGCACCACCTCTTCCAGCTGGTCCTTCTGCAGGGGGGGGGGCTCCAGCCTGGCTTGTGTTGCTCTTTCCACAGGTGATCCCAAAGCACAAGTACGTCCTGGTGAAATTCGACACCCAGTACCCTTACGGGGAGAAGCAGGATGAGTTCAAAAAGGTGGCTGAGAGCTCGGAGTCCAGCAGCGACCTGCTGGTGGCTGAGGTGGGGATCTCAGGTGAGATGGGGCTCTGTCTAGGTGGTCCCTACCTGAGGTCCAGAGGTTGGCTTTGAGATGATGAGGAAGATCTATTTATTTCTTAAAATGGTCGTGCAGTTTTAAGAAATAAGATTCATGCTATATTTGGGTACTGTATTGGATATGTTAGCTGTCTTGAGTTATTTATCAAAATAATAAAGGCAGGATTTTTAATATATATTTGTATCTCGCCTTTATTATTTTGAGAAATAAGTCAAGGCGGCAAACATGTCCAACATACTTTCCTCCTGCTCATATTCTGCACAACGACAACCCTGTGAGGTGGGCTGGGCTGAAAGGGGGGGAACTGGCTTAAGGTCACCCAGCTGCCTTTCATGGCTAAGGCAGTACTAGAACTCACAATCTCCTGCTTTTTAGCCTGGTGCCGTAACCACTAGACCATACTGTCTCTCATATAAACAAAACTCTCTGGATTTACTTAATTGTCATGTGCTCAGTCTGGTACTTTCCAGATGTAGCCTCTGAATCAGCTCTAACCACTGAGCCTTCAGCCATTACAAGATTTTGGGTGCAGGGTTGCAAATACCCTCACAGATCTAATACCATTTTTCCTCCTGGCCTATAATGAGACCTGGGTCGTCTCAGTGGAACCACAAGATTTTCCAAAAGTTCAACTTTCGATCTTCATTTCTAAAATGGGCCTCTCTCTGTTACCATTTTAGAAATGGAAATTCCCCTCCTGTCCCTCTTTTAAAATGACACCTGCTGTTTCTTTCCACCCCAGGACAATCAACATGATAGCACAAAGAGGGTGAAGGAAATAGAGAGTTTGAATTCTCCTGCAGGGCTGCACTTTTTGGTCTCGTGCTTTTAGCCAGGATGTGCTTTGCAAGGAACAAGCTGCTAGACCTCAAGGCTTTAAAATTTTGGGGTTCTACCGGCTGCATATTTTCATCCTTCAAATGATTGAATGTTCCTTTATATTATGAAAGTTACGGTAATAGTTTAATCAACCCACTCAAACAGAACTTAAAATTTCTGTTTAGAAATTTCTTCAGTTTGGACTTGTGAAAGTCACTTAAGCACTCTTATTGATTGATTGATTGATTAATTAAATTTATATGCTACCCATTTCTCCGATAAAGTGACTCCTGGTTAATCACATCTGCGGTGAACAATGACCAGCAAACCCACTAACTAGTTATTCTCCTACCTGAGTTTATATTGCTTTTCTTTACAGATTATGGTGACAAGCAGAACATGGAGTTGGGGGAAAAATACAAACTGGATAAAGACTCCTATCCAGTTTTCTACTTGTTCCAAGATGGTGACCTGGAGAACCCCTTGCCTTACGATGGTCAGGTTAAGGCCAGTGCTCTCCAGCGTTGGCTGAAACTCCGAGGGATCTACATGGGGATGCCAGGTTGCCTGAAAATATTCGATGCCTTGGCCAGCAAATTTGTAAGTGCCGCCCAAGATCCTGAGCATCGCCAGGCTCTCCTGGAAGAGGGCCAAGAGCATTTGGCCAAGGCCAAAGAGAGCGAACGCAAATCCGCCGAGCAATACATCAAAATCATGGGCAAAATCCTTGCCCAGGGGGACCAGTTCATCCCCAACGAGATCTCCCGGATCACCAAGCTGATAGATGAGAACAAGATGAGCGACGGGAAGAAAGAGGAATTCTCGAAGCGCTTAAACATCCTGTCTTCCTTCCAAAAGAAGTCGAACAATGAGAAAGAAGAACTTTAACAGGGCAGGTGAAGGTGGTATATAACATGGGGTGAGGTCCCAACTGGTGCTCCTTTAAGCAGGCAAAAACTTCCCCTTGCTGCTTCAAAGAGGTTGCAAAGCCCTTTTAAAAGCCCCCTACCCACCCCATTATTGGGGACAGAACACACCCAACTTCAGCAGGGGGAAATTTCAGAGACAACCATGAAGTCCAATAACCCCACTCCATTGAGAGGAATTTGAGCATGCAAGAAACGGGGTTAGCACTGGGTGGTTTTTGTGTGTGGAGCACCATTTGGTCCAAGGGAAATTTATTAGAGAAAGTGAAGTCAAAGCTACACCTGTCTCTTACTGACCAGTATTCACCGAAATCAGTTTTATGGAAAAGGTACTTAATTTGCTAATAAAAGTTACTGGGGAAACAAACGCGTAAAGGCATTTTTCTCTTTTATCACAACTTTCTTAATCAAATGAACCCTCGTGGTTGAGCTTCTAAGAAATGAAATTGTGTTCGACATTTAAAGTTGCATTTGAGATTGCCAGTATGGGGATTTATATCTTTCGACCCTTTATTTAGCAACTCTGTCTTGAATCACACACAAGCCCACATGCACACAAACACACAACTGTATGAGAAAAACCACAAGGTTTTTTTGATCAGGAAAATGTAAATGTCCAGTTGCCTCCTTTCTAACAGCCGAGACAAAAGCGGTTGGGACAAGTCATAATATAACTAACCTTGCTTTATTGAATACTTTGCAATAGTTTGAATTCACACAACATGCTAAGCCAAATCTAAGCAAATCAGACTCTCAGACTTCATTCTTCAAAGGACACCTAGTTCTACCAAGCTTTGCTAAATAAAACATTTGCAATCCTTCCTTCATCACAAAATTTAGGAACTTATATCACAGCTCAAGATTCTTAAAAACCTAATTTCTGTGCCCAGTTCCATTCTGTGCTACCTCTAATAACCTGAAGTCTTTCAGAACGTTTCCATCGACAAGTCAACTTCTTGGGGTCTTGAAGCTGGAAGGAAAGAATTGTCAATACCAGTTGGAACTGGGAGCAGGGAAATGTTTTAAGCACTACCATTTTATTTTTCTTCTAGCTCTGCTTTATTAAATAAGGCAGTGCCTGATCTAGGGAGCACCATTCCTCCCTCTTTGGGTTCAAAGAGCCCAATATATTCCAAAAAGTAAGCTATTTTCCAGCGTCAGTCTGGGATATTAGCTGAACCTGCTTGTGCAATGGTTAGATGAGCGTTGGCTTTGTATGAACCCTCTTACAGTGTTTAATTAAAAAAAGAGGGCAGGGCAGGTGTTTAAATGTATTGCCCAATAGTGTCAGAAACATTATACCCATCAAACAATTTTTGGACCATTTTTTAATTAAAATTAATTTTAAAAACTTCCTGCTCTTCCCTTTAGCCGCGTTTAGAGTGTGCTGGGTTAGGGAAAGCTGGTCGATAGCACCCTTCATCGGGAGTTTTCAAATAAATGCCGCAGTGAAATAGGAGAACACCACAGTTAAGAAGGCGCAACTGTCACAGATCTCTGATAATTGCACCCTTGGTGTGCGTTTTTTCTGGAATGGGACAAAGGCCCTTTTCTGTGCATTTCTTTCCACTTCAAAGCAGCCAAGTGGCAGCCAAAGGCCGCTCTTAAGAGCAGCCCCCTCCTTGGCTGACAGTCTAAATTCCTCCCTGGGCCCCAAAGCAGCCCAAGTGGCTGGAATTCCCCCAACGGGCTTGTTTGTCTCTCAAGGGAAGCCTCCACGCTCTTCAGAGGCTGCGTTTCAGTGGTTAACCACCGTTTGCTTGCCAGGCACCAACACAGATGGCGATGGGGCGCCCAGTCCAGGGCACAAGCTGCCTTAGCTGGTGCCCTTCTGTCTCCCCCTGCAAAGCGGCCGTCTTAACCAAGCATTTCCTCACCTTTGCCTTCCAGGTGCCTTGGACGGCAACTCCCATGCTGGCTGGGAACGATTGGTCTGGTTATCCAACTCAGCACCTCCTCGGTAAAGCTCGCAAAGGAGGTCATGAAGGTAATCCTTCCACTATAGGCTCAAGCCAGCCAGCCAGTCAGTTCAAGACTCGGGGACTGTGTAGCCAGCAAGGGAAACGTGGTTTATCTGAAGCTAGGTGGGTTTTCCCGTGGTTTAGACCAGGGGTGTCCAACCTTGGCTACTTTAAGGTTTGTGGACTTCAACTCCCAGAATTCCCCAGCCAGAAACCTCATCCCACACCCAGTTTGAAAGGAGTTGCGTGTTTTGTTTTGGGTGGTCTTCTGCGGGTTCAGATCAGTAGAGGGAGAAGAGATCCAGCTTTTCAATTCGCTCTCACAAACGATCCCTGACCCATAAACTGTCTCTTTGTGGGGCATTCAAAGTGGTTGTGGGCTTCCTTTCCCCGTCAGTAGATGGAGCTGCTGTTTTACTCTCTAGTGGAAACTGCAGGACTGCTGAGTTACACTGGAGTAGCCCCAGATGGAGAATTTGGTAGCAGCTCTTCAGACTCTCAGGTTTTATTAAAAGGCATCTGCTTCACGAGAGCTGCAGTTCCCTGTGCTGGCTGCCTGGAGGGGCTAGCTTAAACCAGGATTTAAATTGGGGTGGGGAAACCCCTCCCTAGACACGCCTTGGGAGCTTACTCTTCCAGAGGAAAGTACCGTAATTAAAAAAGGGGGGGGGACAGGAAGCCTCTTTCCTGGCTAATTCTGTCAAAATAATTGGAGTGTCTTGAGCAAAGAGCCTGGAGCTGCCGGGACCTAGACCAGCTGAAAAAGGGGTCCCTTCCCCCCCCACCACATATCTTCTGTTTTATTTCCTTTTGCATCCCTGCTCTGGTTTTGGTTCTTTCTCTCTCTCCCTCCCTCATCTCCAGCCTTCCAATTTTATCTTTTTCTTTCTTTCCTCTCCTCTTTCCCTCTTGGAAACAGACCGGGCTGCTGGACCACTCAGTCCAGCCTGCTCTGCCTCCCACCATCCGCTGCTGGCAACTGGGGCGGGACCAACGAGGTGGAGCTAAGAGGAAGGTGGGCAGGCAGGCAGCCGGATGGGCAGTCGGCTAGCTGCCTGCCCACGGCTGGTCCCGGTCGCTGCTGCCTGCAGCTCCTTGCTTGGCTGGCCAGCATGGGCTCCTTTGCCGCTGGGGCTGCTGTTCAGGATTTGGAGAGGGTTCAGGTGAGTCAAAGAAGAACCTGTAGAGATGCTCTAGCAGATAGGTTTCCTTCCCTCCCTCCCTCCCTCCCTTTCTTAGCAGATAGATTTTCTTCCTTTCTGGGAGTTGAAGTACACACATCACAGACTGCCTGAGGTTGAGAAACACTGGGGTAGAGACTTCACAGAATCCTGAGGTCAATTTCCTTACCTTTGCATAGTATCCCAGCTTGCTATAAGTTGGCTGCAGTCATTCCTGAGAAGAGATGGTCAGTTCCAGGTCTGGGGTGCAAAGAATACTAGGGTCACAGGTTGGGTAAAAGATGGGCGGTATAGAGATATGCTGAATAAAAAAATAAAAAGAGATGGAAAATACTTCCTGATGCTCCAAAGAGCCCTGGCTGGGCAGAGGAAGGAAAGAAAGATGCCCAGAGGGGGACTAAAAGGCCTGCCCATCGCAACTTCAAGTGTGGGCTGCATCCATCCAGAGGATCTCAGGTAAGCAACCTGCAAACAGCCTTGTTTGCAAGGATGTGCCTTATCTAATTTCGCTCTTTTCCCCACCTAGTTTTTCGCCATCATCCACTGGATCCAAGCTGTCATGGCTACTTTGAGGTATTTCGTGCAGCCTTCCCTCTTAAGACATCCTGGGACTAAAAGGGAATCTCCCAGGAGATCAGCCAGGAAATAACCTGGTTGGGGGTTTTAGGAGGGGCTACCAGGTATATGTCTCCCTTTTCTGGGATTGCAAAATGCCATGGATTTATATGGTTTATTTGCTTTTGTTGGTCATTCTTGTCTTTATTTCCAGTCATTCTTGGACTAAATTGACTTTGCATTTGTTGCAATAAAATGTGTGTGTTGTGTTTATTAAGCGGGAATTTGCTGGGCTCATATGAGCTCTAAAAACATATCAAAGCTAGCAACTTTTAAGTCCGCCAATCTGCCCCTTCTTTCCACAGCATCATGGGGTCGAGCTCAATTATCGGCTACACCATATTCCAGAACAGCGCCAGGTCCCCCGAGGTAAGGGAAATTCTTTTGCTGATGAAAGGCCGTAAGCAAGATGGTGCCTTCTGAACTAAGTGGGGAGGAGCAGTGAGCTTCATAAGGAATGTTTGCAGTGTTCAAATACCTTTCCACTTTGTTATTAAACAAATATTAACATTAGAAGCTGGGTGGTTGAACCATAATTTACTTTAAGTTCACCAAACATCTACAGTTGCCCTACAGCCCAGCTAGTATAACCACCAATTTGCAGCACCAAATAAATAAATCTGTCTGTCTGTCTGTCTGTCTGTCTGTCTATCATCTATCATCTCAGTATTTTTGAATCCTGACAACTTTAGGATAGCAGAGTAGCAGTTTTATTTATTCCCTATCACTCTCTTCTACTAATACACACTTTGAACTGAGACAGTATATTTGGATATGAGACAGCTGAGGAAGAAATCACTTTCCCATTCTAGAGTTGACAGCGTGTGGTCAATTCTCTTTGCCGTGAGAAAGAGAAACTCAAGACGGTCAGATCATCATTTCCATCCATCCTTAGATCTCCAATTTTTGTCCGAACGCAAGGCTAAGGATCACCAGAGTGATGGTTGCTTTCATCCTTCCACAGGTGCGGCCTCTTGTCTACCTGAGCCTCTCCGATCTCTTTCTGGGGTTGTGCTGGCTCACGGGGGCCCTTCTGTATAGCAGAGAACCCTCCCACCCAAGTGGAGAAGGCAACACTTGCTACAACTTGCAAGCCACCGGACAGGTGAAACCTAAGTTGATCTCCAGCTCCTTGGTGGGGTGGAAAGTGTGTAATTTGGAAGTGGGCTCCAAAGGGGGTCTCTGTGCGATACAGTGTGGGCTGGTGGGCTAGCCGCATAGGGAAGAGGCAATCCAGTTGCTTGCTTCCATCTGCTGCCAATTGCTCAGTCTTTGTGCTGGATGAGCGTTGGTTGGGGTTGACGTGCCATGTTGACAGGGTAAAAGCTTTAGAGAAACTAAAGTTAACGACATCAAGAACATACAGAGCGGAGAGGCAAAATTTTCTCTGGAAGTTTCTCGGTAACTTTTCTGAGTTGGAATAAGACTCCAGAATTCTCAGCCAGCATGCCTAAGGTCTGGAAATTCTGGGGTTTGCAGCCCAAACAGAACGGGAGCCTATTAGAGAAAGTTGTGTGTTTCCCTTTTAATTTGACTATTGGATATATAAAAACCCTGTATTATTAGTAACCTTTTTTTCTTTGCTCTATTATGACAGTGCCAGCTTCTTACAAAGCTACCAACTCTTTTTTTGCATCCCTCTCCTCACTGTTGTGCATTTTTCTTTGCTCGTGAGGCACGTTTGGGTCCAAGATTATCCTCTTGAGGCCAGGTTACCATTTAATGGTCCTGTTCTTAGAAAGGCGATTCCAAACCACCAGGAATCTTGTTTATTTAGTGCTGTTTGGTTGCTTTTCCTCCTCCTGTTTGTTAAATGGCTTTATAATCTGTCCCGTAATCTACCCATAATGTTGATTATTGTGCCAATTAGCAGTGTAATAAACAGCAAAGTTCCTCTCGAGTATTGATCCCTTTGAATGTTTACCTTTGGCTGCCTCTCAAGAGAAGTTGGTGTTTGCCTGTTTCACAACATGTGTGTCTTGGCAGGTGTATTGGAGAACTTGAAAAGCTCTCAAGATACAAAATCCATTTGCAAATATTAATGATCAGGCAATGAGGCAGTCACTTGGGTTAGCAAAGACCTGCTTAACCCCTAAATCTACTGGACAGATCAGAGCAGCAAAAAGATTTAACTCAGTTTGACCAACCTCACTCTCTTCCAACATGTTTTGTGTGCTGTCTGGGGACACAAACCACAAAACAAGGTTGGGGAAGATAAAGTATACCATTATGATGTTTTTATGGGGTATTTTAAGCATACTTATTTATAAAATGTCCCAGTATTATTGCAGATAACGTTTGCTTTCCTGGATTAGATTTTGTTTCGTCAATCTTGTAGAATATGATTTATGTAACAAACTAACCTTGATAGGACAAACAAATCCAACATTTTCCACATTTAGTGGATGAAAAACAGAGTGGAAACTGGAAGGGAGGGGCTGCAATGATGTCTTAGGACTTTGTTCATTCTGGGATCCTTTTAAGCACAGAAAAAACTACGTATGCATTGGGATAGCTCTCCTGAATTAGGCTTCCTTTAAAAAACAAAATAACACCAGCAACTGTTTACCGCGGGAGAATGAATGTGCAAAAGTTGTGATTTTGTTTTGTTATTTTGGACCGCTACTTCACGTTTCATCAGCCCTGCCAGGAAATTACACCTTCCTGTTTCTGTGAGTCTTCCCATCTGAAATGGAAAAACCAACTTCACATATGCCTTTAGTGGGGGGGGGGGGTTGTCAGCTCCTTCTGGAACTGTTTATCCTTGGTGACAAAGTCAGAAAATCACAGCCCTACATACAAATTGTGTGCAAATATATAAAAGGACAGAACCACACCCAGAAGTGGAGGCACATCCTAAATTGCTCTCTTTGTACAGTGATAGTTGCTGTTTTTGGATTTTAATTCAGTGACAAAATCAAAGCTGCAAAAGGTTACTTTCAACAGCAGAAATATAGAGGAGGTTGGAGAGGAAGCTGGGGGGGGGTGTACAGGCACAGGGGCCACCCCTGGCCATCCCCTCCTTACCTCCTCCCCCTTCAACCAACAGCCATGTTCAGTTCTCAAATTATTCCAGATTTCCAAAGGCAAATTCGGAGGACCAACAGTCTTTGTTCTTGTTTGTTTGTTTTGCTTCTCCAGATCTTCTATGTCGCCTCTTTTCTGTACACAATTAATTACACTTGGCAGCTTTACATGGATTTGAAAGAGAAATTCAAGCAGCACTTACACAGCCAGAGGCCGCAGGTAAATGGCGCTTTCATGGTGACTTGAATATCTCTAAGCCGGTTCCCGTCTCTGCTTAAAAACCCAAGCATGATTTGGACCCCAAGTGCATTGCAAATGAAGCCAAAATATATTTATATGCTGTCTGAAGAACAGCAAGATAGCCAAATGGGTTGAGTTAGAAACCTGGTTGCATTTTTGCATACTTAGAAATATAATTGAGGGACAGATGGCCATAACAGGTAGCCAGAGGCACCATGTTATAGTTGTCTTTAGAAAATCATTGCATTGGCCTCTGAGTGAGAGCTAAAGGCCATGGACCATTGAACAGGGCAGAACTTGGGGTTTTCCACCTGTGAGCCTCACAGCCTGATGTTGGTGGTTCAATCTGGAAAATAAGGACTCAGGGACCTAGTTAACTCCCCTCGGTTCAAGTTCTGTTGCTCCCCAATAAACACTTAAAATCCCGTGGGTCACAGGGGACGTGAATTAGGTGGGTGTGGGGCATTTCTCACCCAACCTGTGTTTTCCAGCTCAATAGATAGCTATTGAGCATCTTTTCAGCATGGGCTTTATTGCTGACTTTGGAAGGTCTGAAGGCTAGGGTAGAAGAACACGGCTGATTCCAGAAGATGGAAGAAGTTCTTAACAAGGTTTAAGGAAGGAAGATGCCTGGTAGGGTGAGAATAAGAGGAGCACAAAAGCATGTTTGTGATGGTGGGAAGGAAGGGCTTGAGATCTGCTCACCTTGTACCTGTGGACGTCACAGGGTGTGCTGGAGGACAAACTCCAACAATTAGGCTGAGCCAGGCAGAAGCCAACAAGGGCAGGACCAAAGCTGACTGAATTGCATGAAAATCCAAGAAATTGAATCCAGTTGAAATGATGACTCTGGTGTGGAGGCCTTTGAGATTTGGAGGGCCTTCGATTTACTCCAGAGAAGGCCACACCCTTCCTGCTTCCACTTTGGCTCCTACCTGAACAGGATCAGCAGGTTTTGTGGGTTGTACGAGGCCTTCGTCAATGCCTGCTTGATCAAGAGGAGAGCAGAACCAAGGAAAACAGTATGTGTCCTAGACAGAATGGACTCTCAATCACTTTTTTTAATTCTTTCAAAAACATTTTGAAATCTCCAGTGGAAACCCTTTCAAGCACCACAGACCTTCTCAACCGTCAGGGCCAGCCTCTAGGCAGGGGCTCAAAGAAAGAGCTTGCCACGCCCTTTGAAAACCCTGGCTAATTGCTGATGTTTGTTTGGAATAATGCTTGTGCCAGGAAGCCCTTATGAATTTGAAGAGAAAGCGTGGCAGGAGGGGCAGATGTGTTAGTCTAGTCTCCATTGCCACCCACTTCACCAGAAGGACAGAACTCATCCTGGAACAGCACATCCTGTCCCCAGACAATCCTTGTGAGGTCACTTCAACCATCTAGTCAATTCCAGCATTATTTCAAAACTCCACCCTTTAAGGCAGGGGTGTCAAACTGCCAGCTTGCGGTCCGGATGCGTCATGCCGAAACCGCGCCCACCCCATTGCCGGCAATGGGAAAAAAGTCACGATACGTCGCGACACGTCACACGACATTGCGAGTTTGACACCCCTGCTTTAAGGGCTTGAAGAAATGTGTCATAAGATTAGAATATGCTGTTTGCAGGAAAGAAGGATATTTCTCCCTCTGTGTGTGGATGCATGCGCGCATGCCAGTGAAATAAATTACACATCAATATGTGCAGGATGTACCAGGTAGAGAATTAAACCTCGATTGGTCCAACCCTGGTTCACCTTCAAGGTTTTAAATTTCATTGTTGTAAGCACAGTCTCATTTGAAACTAACACACCAACAATCCCCCATGCTTAAATGCTAAATTTTTAAGAGTCCCCCCCCCTCCCCAAACAATTTCATGGAAGTATCTGTACACGTTTTATTTCCCCTTTCCCGCATCCGCTTTTTTTTAAAAAAAAGATCCATTCCAAGTTGTAACTCCTGAATCTTCAGCACAAACTTCAAATTGTGGAGCTAAATCCTGGTGTCTCCCCTTTCCTCCTTTCGTAGATGTTGAGCTATTCAAATCACCTGGGCCGAATAGCCATCATTTCCTCTAGGTAAGATTCATCTCCCCAATGCCGCTCGATTCGGAGGAAATGGGGTCGGGGGGAGGGAGGGGAGGCAGTGGATCTTGCTACCTCACTTGGAGAAACCGGGGTGAGCTCCCCAGTTTGATAGGGCCAGACCCTTGCTATTTGGGCCAGTGAGTGCAGCTCCCTGGAAGGTGAGCCGGACTCTTCTCTGGGGGTTCTTGACCTCTCTTTTCCCTTCCAGTCTCATCCCGGTCCTCCTGATGGTGCCCGTTTTGGGACTCGGCAACTACTTTCAGTGTTCTCAGAACGTCACCTCAGAACACGGGTAGGACAACCTGAATACAGTACCCTTTGCCGAGCATGGAAAGCCAGGGAGGGCAGCTACCTGAGCTGAGGCTTTGTCCTACGGTGGCCAAGGGTTCCCAGAGGCCTCTTAGCGGAACCAGCCTTTCTTTTCAGAAGAGGTTTGGACCCAGCCTGACCCTTCAGCGACGCACCCCACCTCCCGGGCTCACTCCTCTGCTTCCCTTTGGCCCACAGGTGCCTCCTGTTGCACATGGGAAACGTGCTCAGCGCCAGCTCTCAGCAGGTCACCTGCGCCGCGTTGTGTTTGTACAGCACTGGAGTTTTCCTGGTCTCGTTTGTAGTCAGCTTCCTTGCAATTCTGGTAAGAAGCACCCCAAGAGGTGCATCTCCTCCTCTTGCTGAAAGCCCTTCAGCACTTACTGGAGGGGGAAGTGCAGGAGAGGTGTACCTGCTTTCAGTTGAGAAGCCCACAAATCACACTTCTTTTCCCAACCCTGATGCTTAACCTTTGCTGTCTTCCAACTGCTGCTGCATTCCTTGCAAGTTCGAGCAAACAGTTTCATAACACCGATTTAATGCATCACACTCTGACCACATGTGGAACTGAGTTTCCACACCCCGGAGTCTAGCTTCTCGAATATATCTGAGCTTGTTTTTGTTCCCTAATGGTAAACAGATGAACTTCAGAATAAGCACAGATTCTCTGGAGGGAAAATCCAAGGCAAAACAATAGAAACTCTTGAATTGCTGGCCAGGCACCTCTTAGATTGGCTGGTTGCTGATTTTAGTTATGCGAGGACTTTGGGATAAATTAGAGCAAGAGAGGCTGTCAGTGGCCTGATTCACACAAGCCCTTATAATACATGACTTAGTTTTGGCTTAAAGCGATGTGGAAACTAACTCGGTGGTTTGGAAGCCATGGTTTAGGCTTTGTTGTCTTGTGCAAGCTCAGTCAGGTGTAGTTTAACCAACAAACCATGGTTAAGTTACCCATGGCCTGGAGGAATGAATAAACCTATATTCAGTTCCTCCCAAGGGTTCAAAGTGAAGCAGGAATCCCATCCCAGCTTCCTCCCTCCCACACTCTCCTCCTTCAGGCACGAGCAGGTCGCTCAGGCCTTGTGTCGACCCTTGCTCCTTCTTTAGAGCTTGCTCATCCGAGCCAGGACCTTGTACAAGCGGTTTGTGAACTCGATGGGCTACGTCGGTGATCAACAGTGGGCGATGCTGAAGGTGGTCGAGCAAGCCGTGATTCTGTACCCCGTGGTATTTTTCTGCTGCTGGGGGCCAGGTAAGGGAAGACCAAGGAACGTTGCTTCCTGGCAAAGAGACAGCCCTCCACATGTCTGTTTGGAAGTGGGTTCCTCCAGATAGCCACTTATTGGAGGCCAGGACCCATCAAAAGTGAATTATTAAAAAAAATAATATATGCAGAGATGTGGTTGCTAGTCATACCATCCATGTTACTGATCTTCTCCTGTTTCTTCCACCTACAGCCTTTATCCTTGCTATAGTCAAGCTGGCACGTATGGACAACGCCAGTGTTTACATGGCCCTTTATATTCTAGAGGTAAGCATCTCTTCAGCCGTGCACACCCAGAAGAGCCCACGGGGCACCTTCTCTTCGTGTGCAGAACTCATTGCCCAATGCTGGTTGGGTGACTAACTTTTAGTGGGAATTTTGGTCTCTTTGTTGCTTCTTCCTGACTGCCCCAGACAACTCCTGATTGCAGCCACCTCACTTGAGCATCTTCCCTTCTCCACTCAGGCCCTGACCGCATCTTCCCAGGGGTTCCTGAACTGTGTGGTTTACGGCTGGACTCAGCACATGTTCCACTGTGTGAAACGCAAGGCTTGCCGTGACGTCAACACCCAGACGCCCCTCCTGCGTTCCCAGAAGAGGTTCTATGCCAGCACACTCCCAGCCCGTATCCAGACAGTGGCTAAGCCCCCTTCTCCTTCAACAATGACAGTGTTATGAACGGGAAATGGACCATTTGGTCTCTCTCCTTCCACCCCTGTCGTGCCACGAGGCTCTTTTCTCAGCAATGCCAGCTAGACTTTTTAGATCCTGCACAGAGGAGGTTGAACCCATGGCCCTGAAGCTAGCTCATTCACAGCCTCTCTGAGAAAATATGGCTGTCAAAACGAGTCAGTGGCAGATGGGTGAACTTAAAGAGAGAGCTTGGAAGAACTTTGAGAGAATTAAAGTGCAATTGGGCAAGAAGAAACTGAAAGACTCTTTAAATTTAAATAATCACTATTTATTTGAGGGAAATGAAAATTGGATAGGGTGGAGAGGACTGACTTTTTAGATTGTATCATATTTTCCCCATGAGACAGTTTTCCCAGGATTTCCCAAAGAACAGGACACAGCATCACTGAGATCTGGAATGGCTGCAGTGTGGTGTGACCACCCTGGAAATTATCCTTTTATTTCAGTGCTGCTGGTGGAATATTTTACAGCTTCCTGCCAAACAGTAAAACATAAAAGCAAGCGTATGGGTGGATTTCTGTTCGTTTAGATTCCAGGATTGCTAAAAAGCACACTTTCCTTATCTTACTACTGTTTTAACACCTACAAAAAATTCTACACAGAAATAATGTCCCCTGTTGATCACAACTGACACCAATGTCATAGCTTCCAAAAATCCCCCCCCACCCTAAAACCCCCGTCAAAACTGAAAAAGCTCAGCTGCACAATTTTATTTTCCTTTTTCAAGGTGTCCCAGGAATCCTTTCCAATCCACCCTAAGATCCCTTCACCCTCAATGCAGAGACGAGTACACTGAATAGATGATCTTAGCCAGCATGATTAGAGTTAGATCTTCTTTTGGTGGCACCCAAGGAATGGGAATTTTGCTGGAGCCCATCTTATTCCTTTCCTAACCGAGAACAGATGATCTATTCTTCACAAACCTCTATGGAGTCATACGGAATAAATTCCTGCCTCCCGCACTTCCTGACATTCTGAGACGTTTAAGAAGAGACATTGTTTAGCTGGCAAATTCACAAGTTTGATCTGTAAGTGATTTTAATCCTTGCCCTCACCCCCTTTCCCTTTCCCAATAGTGGAGAGTATGGCATTCGATTTGATGTTTTGCGGCGACCTAGACTACCTTAGCACAGCCATTCGGTTTTTGCTCTCAGTGCTCTTTTCCATCTTGGAAAGTTCTGAGTATTATTTGAACAATGACCCACTGCTGATTTTATGATTATTAGATGTTGCAAGAAATTACAGAAGATAATTTTTGGAGCGAATTTCTGTGGGCTTTCTAGGGAGCCCCAACTGGCAGCCTTACCTCGGTGTCTGTATTTTGGGGGTGATTCAGTGCTTTCTTCGTGGAGGTTTTCCACCACCTGAAAACCGGTCCCAGGAGTTCCCGCACTTTCGGAAGGACCACAAGAATAGCAGCGATAATTAACATGGAAAAAGGAATAACAGTTCCCAGAACGTACTTGGCTAAGGAGTTGCCCCAGGCGACCACAGGAAACCCTCCATCAATGCTCCCTCCAGCACCCCAATGATTGCAGTTCGGAGGGGCCCATCCACTGTTGCAGTGGCATTTGTGAAGGTTGTTGCAAACACCTCTGCTTTGGCAGGTTTTCCGTGGGTCGCAGCTCGAGTTAAGTAGGGCTTTGGAGATGCAGGTGCGATTGATGCACAGTTTGTACGGGTCACACACGATGCCATTAGGAACAGTCCCAATGTCCTGGTGATGGATTTCGCCAGGATGCGAAACGCTCCAGCAGAGCGTTCCCCGCACTAAATTCTTATGGACCACCATATCGTTCACGTCAGGCATAGATTTCACATTTACACAGTGTATTCTCCCACACATACTGTCCTTGGGATGGCATTTCAAATATTCCTTCGTGGAAGGATCACTGCCACAGTTGCCGTAGGGAGTTCCGAGGGTGTTCAGACCGAGGTAGCAACTCTCCGGAGCTGTTTTGGATTGTCCTTTAAAGATTCTGTGGCACAAGAAATCGTGATTCCAGCACCTCTTTTTGTAACAGTAAGAAGAATATTTGCTGCAGGGTGTTCCGTCCTGCACATACAAGTCCTTGGGGCACTGTGCGGATTTACCATTACAGTATTCAGGGAGATCACATTCGCTGACTTTAGCCCGACAGACTTCTCCTTTGGGAACAAGCATACATTTTCGGCAACACTGTCCTGCCCCACAAAAGACATTTGTCTTCAAACGACAATCAGAACTGCAGCAAGGATCATGTACGCACGTGGTTGGTCCCCCGCAATCACACTCTTCGCCCATATCCAGAACCCCGTTCCCACAATGCTGAAATCTGGAATGTATCTTAGGAACATTTAGCAAGCAATCCAAGAGACCCTGTTCGTGAAGTTCTAAGAAATTCAAAATGCTGCAGTTACTGAACCGGTTAACAGAGGCGTGGTACGTGTGCATAATGCAGCTTTCAGCGTTGCCACAGACACAGTCGGAGCCGTCGTGATCCAATCCAATATGAGAGGCCAACTCATGAGAAAATCCCCTTGCGAAGCGGGCCGCCTCGTTCTGGAAGTAGACTTGGACTCCTGCTGAAAAATGGGGCTCACAAATAGCAGAGTGATAGGACTTTCCGAAGACATTTTTAAAAGCCTGTTGAAGGAACAAGAAGGCTGTGTCATACGCTGTCCTGTTGACCGAGCTGGTTATTCTCCACTTATTGAATCTTTGAAGAACTTCTGTGATATCTGTAGAAATATCTATTAAGTTCTTTTCAGTCCAGATCTCAAGTCCAACTAGAACAATGTTTGTCTTGAGAGCCTCAAAGGTGGCATCTGCAATGTTCACCAGATCCAACACTACAGTTTGCACTCTGCTAACATTATTTGCTTCTTGGGCAAATACGTTTTTGTCCACTACAATATACAGTTCAATATATTTGGGGAAATCTTCATACTGGAGATAATTGTATATCGCTCTGGTTTGTCTGTTCCGCAGATTTTTTGCTTGGTGCTTTGTTCTTCCCACTCCCGTTTTGTATGATGAGAAAATAGGCTGTGATACTTCGGAGGGGTAGAGAAGGTGTTGAAAGGCAGGGGAATTCTGCAGAGGCTCAATACCGTACACTCTCGCACCAATTTTCAACAAACCAGTGAGACCAAGGCAGGTCCTAAGAACTGCAAGCGAATCAACGATACCTTCAATGTAACCTTGATAGTAGCATTCAGTTGGCACGTTGGGATGGCTCTCAACGCGTTCCCCCTTCGAATTATATGTGAAGATTGGGAAGTTTTTAGCCAGCAAATGCTTTGAGGGTTTGAGCCGGATGATGTAATCCCTTGCTGCTGCCTTGATGATGTAAGATATTTCATCCTTCTTTGTCTTCACTCCTTGGGCTGCTAACCGTTGTGGGATTATCACCTCATAAGAGGGATATGCTGGAGGAAGCAATGAGCTGCAATGGACGGTGGAAAAGGTAAAGACCACCAACACAATGCAGGTTGCCAATGGGAGGAAAAAACAGCACCTAAGATGTCTACCTGCATTTGTCATGATTCAGCTGTGTTGTGTTTCACACATGCTTAGCTTGGAGCGGAGGTGAGATTGATGTGGACGTCCAATGGAAAAAAGTCAAGGGTTTGTTTGTTTTCTGTGAGTCCGTTAATTTTGTGAGAGCTTACTTCAGTTCATCGATGCCCCAAAAAACAATGGCTATCACCATCACTTGCTTGAGCCATCAAGATTCTTCAGGCAGGTCCGCTTTCTGGCCCTGTGGCCATCTTTATTTAACGAAGAGAGCTAAAACGGAGAGGACAGCAGGAAAAGAGGGGACATCTCAAGAGCTTTGGATCCTTCCTCTTCTCAGTTGTTCTGGATGAACCTTGTAAAGATCACAGTAGCCAAGAGGCAAGCCAGGAATGAACCCACCACCGATCCAACCACCATTTCCCTCCTACGGGTCTTCTCCGTTGGAAGATTCCAGAGGGCAACTGTTTCTCCAGCCTCTTTAAATGTGAACATTCCATTTAACCTCCTCCAACAAGAGGCTTCCCAGTGTCACTGAATAGCTAAGTTCAGCACTGAATCATGGAGCAGCTATCCCTGGATTTCCCCTTTTTATTTAAAATCGGATAGTATGCTTGTTATTTTTCTAATTTCCAGTTCTGTCCTTAAGGATCTAGTCAACCCCTTCTAGCTATTTCATGGCCTTATGAGATGAAATAATCAAAGGGGCTGGCTCCTTGTTATTCATGTGGCTCAGGAAATCTATTTCATACCTTCCATAATTGGCACAGAATTTACACTGAAAGACAGGCGCCACCAGGCAAGAGAATCCGCTGCACTCACCCGGGAAGAAACAGCTACCATGTCCAGTCTTTTGACTTAGACTAAGGAGCCAGCCAACAGAGCTCAAGGGCAGAAATTTTATGCAGATAAGCAATGCAAAATCAATCTGAGCTTGCAATTTCACTCTGAAAGAATTGATGGTGTAAGACAGCAAAGAAAAAAATGCCAACCGATGTTACCTTTAAAAAAAAAAAACACCCCAAACTAGTTGACAAAGACATTAAAAAAATCTTGAGACAGAAACTTTGATAAATTTTACTAAAATTATTTTATGTACACCAATGCATAATATTTACATTCATATAATACTGATTTGAAAAACAAAACAGTGATACAGCAAAACGCTTAAAAGTGAGGAAAGCAAAAGGAAGATGAGGAAGGCATGACAGAACCTAAGAGCGGAAGGTTGGCTACGCTGTGGCTGAAAACATACATGCACAACACCATTCCCGGTCTCAAAAACATTTTCTCCTGGAGTCTGTCTCTAAGGATCAACCTCACTAGGGGTTTCGCCCATCATAAGCAAGAGTGCTGATTTTTCCTTCCACAGGTACAAGAAAGAAATCAAGATGGAGATGAATATGAAAAGCTTTATAAGGGAAGCCCAGTAAAATCCATTTCCAGGACCATCAAGGTGTTTTTATAAAAGATGCCCTTTTTTCCCTCACAAAGGAAAAGTGGTTTCTGATGACCACAGCTATTCTCTACACCAACCTTCCCAAAGCAGAGGCTCCCCAAAACCACTGGACTACAATACCAAACCCCCAACTATGAGAGCTGTAGCCCCAATACATCTGGAGGCATCCAAGTCGGGGAAAGCTAGTGTATTTACAGCATCATGCAAAACTAACGCAAGGGGGGAAAGTCAGAACCGAATCATCATTCGGGGGGGGGGGGGCACGACTTCCATCCTTTCGCCTCCTGCCGTATTCCACCAAGTAGCCACCCTGGCAGATAATTCCTATCCTCTTTAGCCCACTCAGCAGAGACAGCAAAAACTGAGACAGGCGCTTCTCAGAGGCCCATCGCAGAGCTGTCAATGTTGTTAGGAGAGAAAGACACCTCGTTTCTTCCAAGGGCCTACTTTTATGTAGAATTAGTAGTACATACAAGAGATGCAAAGAATAATTGATCAAAAGAGCCCAGCCCCTGAGCCACATTCAAACGAGTAATGGTGGCAGGCAAAGAGAGAAGTAAAAAATAATCTCAAAAAATTCCCCAGAATAGTCAAAGAAAAATTAAATAAAACTAAATAAAGTATTTCATCTTCAGTCTCATTTTTTGACCGCATCCAAAAAATGAAACTGGTTGGGGGGGGCGTCTTCTGGGAGCAGCTATTTGTGGATCCAGCCCCTTCCCATAGAAAGTATAGGCCACCAGGGAATTCTTGGGATCTCCGATCCTTCCTCAGCTGGTGGATGGGGAAACTGAGGCAAGGACAAGTATGTTTTGATACAGTACTTCTACAAAAAGGAGTCAGACTCCAACCCTTTAAAACTTCCCACAAGCCAGAGGAAACAGAGAAACAGAAGCCTCAAGGAAAATATTACGAAATATTTTCCAAGCCATGAATGTCATTTGCTGCACAAAAGCCAAATGCCACCTCACGGGCATCCTTGGTGGGAAAACGCTCTGTGTGCAGAAGAATCGGAGTGTTCTGCTTCGCTGACTGAAGAAATTAATCACACCAGGAAATTATTGACAAAGTGGTGCTAAACGTGAGCTCACTTTGGCCTTCTGCAGAGGGTGAAAAACATCTTCCTACTTCTGCAGGGGTTTTTTTTTCTGGCCGAGGACTTTGTTCCTCCAGATTAAAAGGCTCCTTCTCTGGCGTGGCTTCATTTATCCCTGTGGGCATCTCCAAAGAAAATTTCCCCGTCCCGTTTCTCAATGCATTCTCTTTGTATGTCTGCAGACCAGATGTAAAGTCTTGAGATTATCAACTGCACTAGCACTAGACAGAGATTCCAGCTTTCCAGATGTAGTTTAGCCCTAACAGCCCTCCTGGCGGCAAAATCCTCCTGTGCTTCCTGTTAAAAACTAAAGGGACTAAAACCAAACCTAAAGCCAGACACTTTGCAGGCCTCCCCATCAAATGGTTCTCAGTAAAAACTGCAGGGATGCAACCAGCAGCCGTAATGTGCAAAGTCCACAAGACAGCATTTGAGGGATGAGCCCAGAGAACAGAAACAGAAGCCGGGCAAGGAAGGATAAAAAAAGAACCACATTACCCCAGAGATAGCAAACCACAGAATTGTGGTGGCCAATGAGAAGCCCACGTAGAACCTTGGATTGGCATTTCAGCGGCCCCAGGACACGGAATGGTGCCAAAGTAGTTCTGTAGGGCTGCCCCCCAGGCTTCAAAAGAAAATCGGTTGTCAGAACACTAGAAACAGGCTGAACTGGTGAAAAGCCACAAGCAACCATTTCTGTCTTCCTTCACTTCGCGGTACAAAGCAATAGGAAAAGGCAACCCTGGGTTCAAGAAAAAGAGTCTCAAGATCCAGAAACACAGGGCTATTTTGTAGTAATCACAACTTTTTATAGGGCCGCCTTGAATCAGCAGGCAGCCAAGTAGCCCATACGCCTCTGGCTGGTTTCTTCAAGTAATTTATTGAGATGAAGGCCGAGAGAGAGACCCCAGAACTGAGCTGGTACACCCCCCTACGACAGGCAGCTGGAGAGATTGCCTCAATCTGGATATTCAGGTGAACACAGTTAACCATTTGCCCCATTTAAAACCATGAATGAAGGGGTACGTAAAAATCATGTAATATATAATATATATATATATATATATATATATAATTTTGAGGAACTGAGTTTCTTAAAAAAATATTACAGTACCAATGATTCTCATTATCTACATCTATACAGCATTTCTCAAGCTGTGTGGAAATTTAATGAAATAATTATGACTTATTAATTTACATAAAAATACTTTTTACAGTTTACAGCAGCCTTGCCCAGCCGGGTGCTTTCCACCGTTATCATCCCAAACCAGAACATCTGGGAAGGCGCCCGGTTGGGCAAGGCTGCGTTAACAGATAATTCACAAAATGGTCTTTAAAAAAACAAAAACGGGCGAGAGTGTGTGTGACTGGATAAGAACAAGCAGCTCCAGCTACTGCAACTCGTGAGAAGCCGTCTGCTCTTCAATAACTTGCTTCACTATTTCTGCCAGTTTTAGCCGGTCCACTTTGTCTGTGAACCCTCTGCCTAAAAACAGAAACCGTTGTAAGTGGAGGGCTACATGTAACAATCACAACCAGAGGGGAAACTAGGTTTCCTAAAAAAAAACAAAAACCCTCTTAATTGCTGTCAGTTTTCATAAGCGCCCTTTTCAGGGTAAGGGGAGATGAGAGACTTAATCCACCTGAACAGACTTGTGATACTCACCATTCCAGCTAAAAGTCTGCAGGGTGTCTCTGAGTAATTTACATTCCCGGTTATACTTCCAAGCTTCCTGCATAACTTCATTCAGTTTCTCATCTTCGTTTTCTCCTGGTCCAGAACAGGAAAAAAGGAAAAACCTCTCCTGAGCATTCTAAGACTTTTTATTGTCAACCTGGAGTTATTTCGTAATAATTAAAAGTTGAATTTTAGTTTCTGGGATCAGCTGTCAAAATCAATGCTGAAGGAAGGTTGAAGATAGAAAGACAAAGTATTTAGACTTATGCAATTGTTTTCCTACCACTTTTTCCAATATTCTGAGATACTGTGGAGAGCAGGAAGACAAAGTGAACAACAGAAACTGGTCAGAAGAGGGCAGAATAAGAGACTGAACAGAAACCATGCCGTAAATGTGTTGGAAAAGGAAGAATCCATGACTTAAAAAAGTCCCATCCAATCAAGAAAAAGAGTTGGTTGTTTTCAACGGGGGCTACTATCCTCTCTCTGAGGGCTCTGCTTGGTTCCTATAATACTGTGTTTCCATATCTAGACAAATGTTTTTCCTCTCAGGCAACTTAAAATTCTTCAGACCAAAGAACTGGGCACTAAAGGTCAAACTGGGCATTAAAAAAAGACTTTGCTGTTACTCAGGTTGCTTGCAAGATATCATCTCATACCTTTCCTGGACCCCTGGGAACCACCTCAAAATCTAGCAGGAACAAAAAGCAGCAGTTCATTATTTTAAGTAAAGAACAGAGTAGGGGATCTTGGTCTGTTAATCAAGAGGAAGAGTAGGAGTTTTGATTTCCAGATCCCTCCGGCTCTTTTGCTGGAGAAAAGGCGAAAAGGACGGCCAGTGCAGCATCCCCCACCCCCACCCACCCACCCACCCACCCTGCCCCTAGAAACATCTCGTCTTAGAATCTGCCACCTTTACCAGCCTGTGGCAGGATGCACTGAGCAATCACATCCCGTAGCTTCTCCAGAGCAACGTTGCTGTTCTCAGGATCATGGATGTACACGTTTTCCTTTGGTTTTGTTCTGCAAGGACAGAGAGAAACGTCAATGGGGCTACAGCAACTAACACAGCAGGTTCAGGGACAACCTCCCCCCAGCTAGTCTTCTGAATAGCATTAGCCTGTGCTAAAAGAGAAGCAGGGAGGGGTCGGGGCGTGTCCCGGCCAGGCTAAATATTTTCTCCACCCACCATTATTTTTCGTTCTTCCCAGCCGCCACCAGGAGAAGCTCCTCAAACACTCACCCCAGCAGTTTCCTCTTGCGCAGGATCGGGTTGTTGACTGAATGCAGGGGCTTCAGGCTGACTTTGAGATCCTGTATTCTCATGTTTGCCAGTTGCTCTGCGTGGGCCTGCTGGATGCCGGCAACCATGGCCTGTTACAATGGGAGAGGAGTAGTTAATAACTGAGGTCTTCAACCTGTGATGCAGGAGGAGGGATGGGCCTGGGCACAAGACATGGACCACCTCAGGGGCCAAGAACATCTTGAGAAGGGAAGAGCCCCAAAGAAAAACCAGCTTGAGAGCATCAGCAGGAAAGCCAGAGGATGGGAGTAACATTTCCAAAGTCTCTGACTGCAACGGTTCCCACTCCCGAGGCTCTACTTAAAAAAGCACCACGGGAGGTTTGAGGAGGGAGGACCTCTAGACCACCCCCAGGAAGGGAAGCTCGACTAGACGATCAGCTCCCCTGCATACTAAACAAACCATACTAAACAAGCCATTTCACAAGAACCTTGTCCATCATTAGTTGGGCAGAAGGCAGAATGTTATCGAGCGCCTCGGTCGAGTTGAGCCATGGGTGATCCAGAACGCCTTCTGTCGTCAGTCTCTCCTCTGGCTTCACCTTCAGCAGCCTGAGTGTTTTTAAGAAACAAACCCATCACTCCGTTGACCCTTTAAGGCAGGCAGGTCCAACCTTGGCCTCTTTAAGACCTGTGGACTTCAACTCCCAGAATTCCCCAATCAGCCAAGCAGATCTTAAAGTGGCCACGGTTGGGCACCCCTGCTTTAGGCTTCCACTTGGTGGACAGCAGCTGGACCCTCCTAAAACCAGCCAATGGAGGCCGAAAGCCCTGCTAGCCATTGGCCCAGCTGCTTGCAGAAGAAGATAGAGCGAAGAGGCAAAGGATCCCAAGGACCTACTTGCGCACAATGTCTTTTGCCATTTCTGAGATCTGGCTCCACTCTTCCTCCGGGAACTCAAAGCTCCCCGTCATGATCTTTTTCCTCATGTCCTTCGGAATCGTCCGACTGTGATGCTTCGAGTAGAAGGGTGGGTACCCACACAGCATCACGTAAATGATGACCCCCAGGGACCATAAGTCACAGCTCTGATCGGAAGGGGGAAAAAAGAATATTGACGCCATTTCCCACTCAGGAGAAAAATCCACTCTGCGTAACCAAGGCGGAGTCAGCCAAGCATGTCGGGGTGCCAGAGATCTACCTTGTTATAAGTGTATGGGGTTGGTGAGGTAGGGATAATACCACACTTTTCTTTCTGGTGCCGTCTTTGTGCCTCCAGAACCTGTTGGGCGAAGAGGAAACAGCCGGCAATCTTAGACCTAACTGCACAGGGGCTCCTGAGCCATGAAAAGACGCCGGCCAGCCCCAGGAAGAAGGCCCTCACCTGAGGTGCTACGTAATAAGGAGTGAACTGTGGTGTCATCAGGTCACCTTGGTCGATCTTGGCAAACCCAAAGTCACAGAGCTTCACGGGAGCATCCTAGAGCAAGCGACAAGCTGCTTAGGTGAAATGTGTCAGCGTCAGAACACGGAGCACACACCCTCCTCTCAGAAATATCTCTGGGGCTGCTGAAGGAAGGGAAAGAGATACCAGAGCAAGAGAATCAAGACAGGAGGAGGCCAGGGGGATGAAGGGCACAGGACTGGAGAGCTGGGGAAGGAGAGGATCCTGGCCTGAAGCAGCAGCAGGGAAAGAGCCTCCAATGGGCTGGAGGGAAGAATGCCAGCCTCTCCCGCAGGCCAACGGCTGGGAGAAAACCAGAGAGGAAAGGAGACTGTGATGCTAGCACTGATCAAATAGTGAAAAGACAAAAACAACCCAGCATCCAGGCCAATCAACATCCACCTTACCAAAGAATTATCTTTGAAAAGAAGATTTTCAGGTTTCAGGTCTCGATGGGCAATGTTTAAAGAATGACAGTGCTGCAAAGCCAAAGCGATCTGGAAAAAAAAATAAAAAAAGCACAAGGGATCAGAAGACGGTCACAGAACCTCTCTCTCTCGAGGCGTTGATGGGCCCCTCTGGGCCGGCTGCTTCTGCGTGGTCTGGCTCATCCCAAATCCAATCCACGGTGAGCCTCCTCGGGATATTGTCTTCCTTTCTGGCTCTGCAATAGTTCTTGTGGAGGTGTGTTATTTCGTTGCGCAGGAGCAGGTAGGAAGTGAGCTTAAACTGTACAAAGCTCAGCTTAAGTCACCGTGAGGAAAAGGGCCCTTTTTCTCTCGGCAACTTTCAGCTGGGATTTTAAGCAGGTGAGTTTTAGCAATCCTGGAGTGGGGAGGAAACCCATTAAAACAGTTGGCTTGCACAAGGAGGGAACTGGTTGTGCTTGACAGCTCCTCGCCTTGGGCTAAACCAACCACCCAGAGCCACATGATCATCAGAAGAGCTGAACGGTGACTCCTATAACTATGGAATGTGCCCGGATGCAGCTTGAGGGCAGGAAAGACAGGCACGTAGAGAACCGAACACGAAGCAACAGACACCCCACCATCTCAGCTAATGCCCATCTCTTTTTCATTCTCGAGAGCAAAGAAGCTGCACACCTGAACAAATGTGGACGAACCGTAACACGGTTTTCCTGAGCAATTCAATCAATACCTCCTGAGCCAGCATAGCAGCACCCTCCAGTTTCCCCCGCCCACTTTTATATTAAAAAGAAAAAAAGATGATGCTCCTCAGCTGTCAAAACCTGGGAAACGAATGTTGAGATCATAACAAATCTGATAATCTTTTGAGAGGGCCAAACATTACTTTTTTATTTTAAAGCGTGCCTCTTCCCAATCCATCTCCTGGAATTTATTTATTTATTTTTTTGTTTTACGGTTCTTTTCTCCCATATTGTTTGCTTATACAAGGGCAGAATAGGGAGGCCTGTGGGAGGGTTCAGACTTGCCTGCTTTGTTACTTCACTTGCTTGTTTCTCAGTAAAGTGCCGATGTTGGCTGATTCTGTGAAACAGCTCACCCCCTTCCATCATCTCCATTACAATTAGCAGTCGAGACCTGGATAAAAAAAATAGCAAGATGTTAAGAAAAACCTCTGCCCCGGAGCCCTATTCTTGCAATTAAATAGACCAGGGAAAGTGTTCTGCACAAGCTGAACTGCTCAGGACAGCTTAAAGAAAAAGCAACACAATGGATTCGCAATTTAAAACTAAGGGCCACAAATATGTCACTGAAACGATACCATTTTCAAAAAAAGAAAGCCACCATTCTCCCCCTCCTAGGAAAAACAGTGGCTTGTTGAACTCTCTGTGGTCAAGCCTGCAGCCAAAGCCAAAACCACAGTCCAACCCCATATTTATTTCTGTGTCTTCTTCTCATTTTTCCTTCCAGGCATTCTGCAGTAACCTTTTTTGTGCAACAGCTTTTTGAGGCGAAGAGATGTCTTACATGTAAAACAGAAATCCTATTTTGTGATGAAGTGCAAAAAGAATGCCGTGGCACCAGAAGGAACCTGCACCATCTTACCTTGGACTGGACTCATGGGGGAACTGTACACTGTTCGCGTAGACTTCAATAATCTGGACAATGTTGGGGTGTGCCGCACACATCATGTGAAGTCGGACCTGGTGTAAAATGGAAGAAAACCCACTGAATCCCCATGGCCTTTGGTCTCAGCTCTCAAAATACTCCTGTCTCTTACTCCAACGTGACAGAAATCAAAAGCATTTCTAGATAGCTATTCATAAGAAGCAAAGGACAACAGAATTAAGGTCAATTTGGGAATTTTTTTTCCAGAACTAACTGCCTGGAAGAGATACCATTTCAGATATGTGGCAACCAAGAGCGCTTTCTGAGCCAGAAAGGAATTCAATCTTCCCAGATGCTCATGTGGTTGAACTCTAACTGGCTTCTAACACCGTGAGACCTGAGATCTTGTCTTTTTAAATTGGGTTGTAAAGCAAAACCCGGAGTTTAAAACTCACAGCCTGGGCAAAAGTTCAGGCAAGAAACAAGTTGCAATGGGAGAAGAAATTCAGAGGAAGAGGGCTTGGCTGCAGGGGAAAGCACAGAGAGATTTAAGTTAAGCAAAAGGTCAACATCAAGCACCACCCCCAGGAAAGTGGAGTGGAGTTGATTGAGTGCTTTGGGCACAAAACTAACCGGTTTGCCAGAGGCCTCTCCTGTTTCCTTTGGACAAGTCAGATTCAGCAGAACTGGAAAAGGCCAGATTTTTCCAGCTCTACTACACTGAAGGCTAACAAGGCAAAATGGGATTTTCTAATAATGCAAAATTGACCCATCAAGAGCTACTCTGGATGGCATTATCAAAACAAGCCCCAAACCCATCCATATGCCAGCAGCAGCTGACAAATGTAACAGGAGCAGATCCGACTTCCTGATTCGGTTCTTACGTTCACTCTGTCCCATCCTGTGTGGAATCTCGCTGACATTAAGGGGATTCTCAGGAGGCTTCTGGCATTGACTGAAAGCGCCTGCCCTGGACTGGAAGATGAGTAGGCACAAGCAAAGCCATTCTTGCCAGGAAATCAATATTTTTACCCAAGCAAGATCACAAGTCGCTTGGTGTTATACCAATATCTTCAATAAATAAATAAATGAAAACCAAGCTAACAGCGTCTTTCTGGGCTCAATTTTACAGTGAGGCTTTCCTAAGCAAATTCTTCCAAAGATGCTCCTGCATGTACTTAGGCTTGTTTATCTTTTCCAACTTAGTTTAATAGCTACGTGCAATGCCAGGATTCATTACAAGGCATTGTGCTATCAGGTTTTTGTCAGACATTCACCGAGGCTTCTTTTGTGCTTTGCAACAATATTTCAGTATTTGGAATATTGTGTTTCATTGGTTTAAAATGGTCAACCACTTTGTCTAGTTCAGGGGTGTCCAACCTTGCACCTGTGGACTTCCAACTCCCAGAATTCCCGAGCCAGCCAAAGTTCCAAAACTTTTCCATAAATAGAGTACTCATTTATGTACCTCATTTCTCGCTTTTGGGCGATCAAGAAGGATTTTCAGTGCAAACCGTTCTTGAGACGATTTTTTGATGCAGACTCTGTACGGGCAGGAGTAAAAACTTGATTAGTGGGAGTCTGTGGAAGACTTTGACATATGACTGCATTTATTGCCTGATAACAAACATCAAGGGAAGTGTGTCCCAATCCAACCTTTGATTTTTATTCACAGCTTAATTCAAGAATCCGATATTTCAAGCTCTCGCCCGAGTTTAAACCCAAACCAATATATAAAGGTTTTTATACCTTACTGGGCCGCTGATTCCAGCTCCCAGCTTCTGAGTCCAGTTAATGTGGTAGTCTTCCAAAATAGAAGTTTCCTGTTTGTTTTTCAAAGGAAAGGAAATGAAGTGAAAGGCTGATGGTCCCAGATACGAAGTCCCACCTGTAGTAGTTAACAATCCCTTTAAAACAGAGAGGCTGGCAGCAATATGGAGTTCTGCGGATCACAGTCTGGGCTCCTGGATTACAAAGCTCATCATCCTCAGCTCCAGGGGGTCATACATTCAGACAATAGCAACCTCCCAAATCATTTGATCCCTCAGCTGGTCTTACAGGAATTGGGGTCTCGGTGCCAGCTGAGGATGAGAGGAACTGTAGTCCAAGACAAGGGCACTACCTGGGCTGATGGGAGCTGTACTTCAACTATCCTAGAGGTCACCAACCAGGGCCAGGACCATTCCTTGAACTGGGGATGATGGTAGCGGTAGTCCAACTCAAGAGAGGCAAGGCTGGGGATGATGAGGGGTGCAATTCACCCCCTCCAGCGGCCACCAGCCCCAGGGTTTGGGATGTCCTCTCAGGCGAGGCAGCCAGAGAACCCCGGGGGGACTCTGCACGTGCTCAGAGGGCCCCTCGCCTACCTTGATCATCCTCTCCGCGTCGGGCTCCTCCGACATCCTCCTCCTCCGCCGCCGCCGCCGCCTCAGGCCCGGCTCGGGGGGCTCGGGGGGCGCGCAGGGGGGGCTAGGCGGGGGGCCGCCCCTCCAAGTCGGAGTCGTCGGCGTCGTTGTCCCCGCTGCCTCCACTACCGTCGCCGCTGCCGCTGCCGCCTCCCCCTTCGCCGCCGCCGCCGCCACCGCCACCGCCACCACCGCCTCCGCCGGGCTGCCGCCTCATCCCCGCCCAGCAGCCGAGGAAGGGGAGCGGGACGGCGGGGAAGCGGAGGCCCGGGAGCCCTCTTGTCGCGGCCGGGAAGAGAGAGGCCGCGGGCGGCGGGAGGAACGGACCGCAGCCGCCTCAGCCCGGCCGCCGGGGCTCGACTGACGCGGGGCAGCCGCCAGCCATGGCCACCGCTTCGCCCCCGCTGCGGGCAGCCCCGCCTGATTCGGGAAGGGCGGCCGCCGCGCTCCCCGCAGCCGCAGCCTGCCCGGATCCTCTAGTCTCCGCGCGGCCTTGACGGGCAATCCGCGCGGGGTCGATCCCGATGGGAGCTTCGCCGCTGCTGAGGCTCTCGGGGAAGAAAGGAGTCAGGCGGCTGTCCAGGGCAGCCCCGTGCCTACACGCGACGCCCTGCCTCGGAGGCCCCTCCCTCTTTTCTTCTCTTTCTCCAGTTAAGGCTCCCTCGGGGCCCCCGGGGCTTTCTTCGCCGGAGCCGCGCCTCCTGATGACGTCACGAACGGGGTTATCTGAGGGAAGGAGACAGCCCTTGGCTCGTCCGAGGGAAGGGCGGGGCTTTCACGGGGCAGGGAAACCCTCGCTCCGTTCTGGACACGCCCCTTCGCTGTCGTGGTTGGAGGGGGCGGATCTCCTTTCTCCACCTCTCGTGAGACTCCGGGCTGGATATCTCGCGAGATCTCGAGCGTGGCAGGACGAAGGGGAGCTGCTGTGAGGTTGGTCGCCATTTTGGGGAAAGGCCATTTGACTGACAGGGGAACCTTTAATTTCAGGTGGAATATTTTTCAGGTAGGATTAATTAATATCCTTCCTCCAATAACCAGCAAAGCCGCCAAATATCGCCGAGAAGTGTGTCAAAAGCAGGGCCCTACTTTCCCCTCGGAGTTTGGCTCTCTTCGGAACATCTGGAACGTTTATAGTTCTGTTCATCTTTTCTCTTTTCTATAATTGCACATCTTTTTAAACCCCGTGCCAGTTTCTGAGGGGAGTGAGTGAGAGTCGTAACTGTCTGGCCCTTAAGACTTTGCTGCTTGGCTATATTAAGACTCCCTACTCGTGTGCATTTTTGTATTTTTTTAAATAGCATGTATCGAGGAAGCAAACGATTAAAACTTGATTTAGATAGATAAGGGCATAGGGCAGCTTTTCCTAACCTTGTGGAGCTTAAGAGGGGTGGACATCGCACTCCCAGAATCCTTAGCAGGCTGGGGGATTCTGGGAGCCGAAATCCAGACAATTTAAAAAAGCGACAAGGTCGGGAAACATTGGCAAAAAGAGCCTTCCTGCGAGTTTTATTTGTCACAAAAGATGGGGTGCTTAGGGATCCACATTCACCCCCCGAGTCTTCCCCAAATCCTGGTTCTTGGCCCCACCTCGCCGTCCAAAGGGAAGCAAATGTATTTATTCCGAAAGCGGCTCTGGATGGATGCAATACAAAGACACGTTAAGCATAAAATCTTGTATGTATTAGAAAAAGTACAAAAAGAACATATGAAGAGGTGCCTCACGACATTCGGATACTCAAAAGTAGCCTGCTTGATTTTCTATTCAGGTTACTTTGCAGTGAAGAATATCCAATTTTCCTTGCTCTTAATTGTTACAAATGTTTGATCTTGGGGGGAGGAAAAGAACCAAGGACAGTTTAAGCAGAGAAATAAAGTCTTAATCATTGGTTACATGTACATTCTGCGAGGTGCTTATAAAGAAGCCAGATTTTCTTTCTTAATGCAGAATTCTTCAGTTCCTGATTTAAGTTTTTCTACCAAGTGTGGGGTGACGTATATGGACGGTTCCACGGATTTCTTCTTCAAGAATTCTTTTGTGGGACTTTGATGGTGACCTAGCAGGAAGATAGAGTGAAAAACATGAAATCTCATCTAGAAGTAGTCCTCTACTTACAACAGTTCATTTAGTGACCGCTCAAAGTTACAACAGCATGGAAAAATCTGACATGACCGTTTTTCACAGTTAAGGACCACGGGGAGCTGCAGCATCCCTATGGTCGTGTGATCAAAATTCCAACACTTGGCAACTGACTCATATTTATGACAGTTGCAGTGTCTCAAGGTCACGTGATCTGGGGAAGCCAGATTCATTTAACAACTGTTTTATTAACAATAATAATGGCAAGGAAGGTCGTAAAATGGGGCAAAATTCACTTAACTATCTTATTTGTAGCAAATTTTGGGCTCAATTGCCGTCATAAGTCAAGGACTGCCCTGTGTTTATCAACCACTGTCTGTCCCAACCTCCTATTATAGAGGCAAATAAGCTGTACAAGCTTGTATTTGAGCTAACCTGATCTGAAGATGTGAACTATAGTTGAAAGGAACAAGTAATGACAATACATACTGTTTTTATTTCCATGTATGAGTTCAGGCCATATTCTCCCCCCTCACGCCCTTGGCCAGATTCTTTGAACCCTCCAAATGGAGCCTGTGCCCCAAACACATTGTAGCAATTAATCCTGCAAAATAAACGTTGCATTAGAAATGTTTTTGATTACATTTCCTCTGTTATACAAAGATTTAGCAAATTAACATTAGCACTGTACATTTAAAAGTTGCATTGAATGCATACAAGGACAATCGAGGGCAAGTACTCATTTGTGATGTGTGAAATCTTGAATATAAGCTTCCAGTTTTCATTAATTTGAAACTGGGTGGGGAAAGGGTGACCAAAATATATTTTTTTATATACTTCTAATGGGTTGGGGACTGCAGCATGGACAGCAAGTGCCCCGCCGGTTTTTCCTTCCGAGTTTCATTCTTAAGGGCTTACCAAACAGTTCCAGCTCGCAAACCCTGAGAAATGTAGTTGGCTTTATCGATATCTTTTGTGAAAACAGCGGCTGCCAGCCCGTATTTGGTTTCGTTTGCCCTCTGGATGACTTCCTCAATGGTTTTGAATTTGAAGATCTGCATAACAGGCCCAAAAATCTGTAAAAGAAAAACCTCTGCAAGATTAAAATGTATTTGCGTCATAGGATTGTCTCCAATATTACTACTGCCTAACCTCACGTATAAGAGTACATATTTAAGAAAGTGGGGTCCATTCGGCAACCTGGTTATATAATGTGAATGGGCTATGCGTATATGATCCTCCTCACCTCTTCTCTGGCTATTTTCATATTGTCCTGCACATCTCCAAAGATAGTTGGCTGGATAAAGTAGCCCTTATCTGCTGCGGGGCTCCCACCACAAAGTAATTTTGCTCCCTCCTTTTTTCCACTGTCAATGTATCCAAGGATCTTCTTATATTGTGTTTCATCCACCTAAAGTAAGAACAAAAAGCCAGCGCATCAGTTCAGTCAAGATGCTGTTGCCATAAAGGAGCAAATCTGCTTGTATGAACAAAAATTCACCAAGCATTTAATGCTGAAGTTTGCAACAATGACACTTTTTAAACCAGTTGTCCTTTATTTCTATCTGAGTTTTTACTTTATTTTTTAACCACAAGTACATCTGCAATTTACTGATTAGATTTTAAGAAAGGTTAGCATTTTAAGTTAACGAAAAGATTATGTTTTGTACAATGTACAGTGACTGCGATGTTTTTTTCCCTATCTAGAACAATTGCCTCTGTTTTTCTAATTTGAGATACTATTTTAAAGGAGCTCCCCAAAGAGTGGATGGTGGCAGACTGGAACTGGGGTTTTTTCCCCACCTGAGGCCCCTGTTCAGTTTGGAAGTCAAATGGGTTTCCAACTACTCTGGATTTGGCTCTCTCCACACTCCTTTCCACAAACTCGTGATATATATCTTCTTGGACAAAGGTCCGAGATCCAGCACAACAGCACTGGCCTTGATTGAAGAACAGCGCAGAATGAGATTGTTCAACAGCCCAGTCCACTAGAGAAGGAAAAAGAAAGAAAACATCCAGATGAGG